AGAAGGAGAATCCGAAGCAGGCTCCACACTGTCAGCACAGAGCCCGATGTGGGGTTCAAACTCATGAAACGTGAGATCATGACCTGAGCAGAAACCAAGAGTCAGATGCTTAACCAACTAAGCCGCTGAGGCACCCTGTGAAAAGTCTCAGGAAAAAGAATAAGGAGTTTATTCTCTTGACCAAGGAGAGCCAATGACGGCTGTGAACAAGGGCGTGGCATCTTCACTGCCACAGGCCTCACTAATGTTTATTCAGTGCTTCTGGAGCCAAGCACCGTGCAGGCATTTTCTCAGTTCCCACAACAACTCGGAATTCCATTCATTATGACCTTCTGCTCCAGACCACACACCTGGTAAATGATAGGGCTGGTTTTCAGCCTGTAGCTGTCAGACTCCAGGACCCAGACTCAGCCTCTCAGATCAGTGTCTGGAAACATGAATTTTACAGTGGAGCGAAGCTTAGACTGGACACTAAGGGAGAGCAATTTACAAACATCCGTAACTACTGAATAACAACAGTAGGATAACAAATATAAAGTGCTTAGACATAAGTTCTTGGCATTTAATAACTCAATCATCCCTGGTCCTTATTACTGGCATTGAGCGTCTGGTACATTTTTATTACATAGGGAAAGTTATCTAGTTGAGAGGCTGGTGGGTGTAGGACACATAAAAAGATGCTGTAAGTTAAGGCACGATAAGGTTTAGATCCCTGAGGAGTATGAACTCATCCCCTGCCTGAATGCCTTTGGTATTTATCTGCAATTCTGCCACTTGTAGACTCTAGCTTCATGTCTCATACTTGTACCTCCATTTATCATCAAGCCCTGTTATTTCTTTCTTGAGAAGTGTCAGGATTTTTTTAAAGTTTATTATTTATTTTGAGAGAGAAACAGAGAATGTGCACGTACAAGTGGGGGAGGGGCAGAGAGAGAGAGGGAGAAGGAGAACCCAGAGACAGAATTGACAATACGGGGCTCGATCTCACGAACTGAGAGATCACGGCCTGAGATGAAACCAAGAGTTGGATGCTTAACAGACTGAGCCCCCCCAGGTGCCCTTTTTTCCTTTCTAAAATTTCCAATGAAACCACCCAAACTTACACTCTAATAGCTGCTCCCTCGACTCCTGGCAATAGCCTGCCCACTTCTCCTTCTTGCCTTTCCAATCCTTCCAATGGTACATCCAGAATTCATTAAAGCAGTGGTACTTAAGCCTGAGAGAACATCAGAATCACCTGGAGGACTCCTGAAATCATTGATCACCCCGTGTTAAGGATTGAGTCAGTAGGAGGATGTGTGAAAATGTGAGTATCTAAAAAGTTTCCAAGTGGTGCTGATGCTGCTGGTCCGGGGACCACATTTTAAAACGACTGCCTTAAAAATAGAGCTCCTGTTCTGTCCTGAGCTCCCAGTTCAAACAACTTCATTAGTTCCACATGCCTACAAAAGTAATTACATATTCCTCAGCTCACCTTTCAGGTCTTCCATTTATAAGCCCCAAGTCACTTTGCCAGGCTTGCTTCTGGTTATCCCTTCTGCCCTGTTAACCCGGCACCTCCAGGGCCTGGCCACTCTGGGCTGCATACCCAGATATGTGCTACTAGCTTTCTGGCGAAGTTCTCAATCTCGTTAAGACCTACTGCCTCGTCTCCAGGATGGGCCTATCATTTCTCTTGCAGGGCTGTCGTGAAATTAGCAACATCAGCTAGGTATGGAATAAAGCTCGGCACAGGGCGGGTAGCTGAGGAGCTGCAGTGTTGTTATTTCCTTCGTCATTTAAACATAAATCAGGTGCTATTTTCTTTTAAGAGCAAGGTAAACAGTTCAGTCACTTAAATGCACACCCACACATATTACACCCTAATCACAAGAAACTAGTTACGAATTTTGGCAATGAACAACCAGAGAAGGGACAAAAGATATTTACCGAAAATTGCATTATGAGGAAACATGCTAAAATGTTAAAATTTTGGCATGCAACTATTATATATGTGAAGTGAGAATTTTTCTTACTTCCTTCCTTTTTTAATTTCCTAGAAGCCACACCTGCTCTCACCTATTGATGAATGGGGAAAATAATGGTGACATAAATTACTTGGGGTTGGGGGGCAGATGCAGGGGATGGCCAGGTTGGTTATCCACACAGCTCGATAATATGGTGCCTAGTTTGGGGAGAAGGTTTGCGATTTGTAGGAGAGAAAAGCACTCCTTGTGTTGCATCCTTTACTATACTACAGCACTGTTTTTGCTAACTGAGCGGAGATGTGAACAAACATGTGAGTCCTAAAACCTACAGATTCACAGCAAAGAGTATTAATATTACTACATTTTGCTGTTAGAGGTAGAAAAATGCTCCCTCAGTTTTGAGACACACAAATGACCAATTTTGAATTGAGAGAACACGGTCGAATAGGACTTAGAAGCAGATGGTTTTATGCAAGAAGACACTTTGCATAAAATAAAAAACTGCTATAGGGTCTCTGGATATAACTTTGGATTACAGTAAAAAAAATGGGGAAGAAATAAATGAATACTGGTAATAGTAATCGCTAACAATTACTGAGCACGTTCTGTATGCTTAGTACTGTTTTATAGGAATTAATTTAGTTTATTTTCACAACAATGCTATAAAGTGGGCACTGTTACCGCATTTTTAAGGAAACTGAATCGTAGAAAGATTAAATAGCTTGCTCAAGGTAACAAAGCTAGCGAATGGTGGAGAAGGAACTGAAGTCTAGACTGTCTGTTTACAGAGTCCACGTTCCTAACCACTAGACCGTTCATTCTGTTGATCATTCGACAAGTAGGTAAAATCATGGCACTGACGCAAATATGAAAATGTATCCATCTGCTGCACTCACGGCCTACTAAACTTCCGTTAACAGAGAGAGGAAGATGTCATCGTCAGACACCCCTGAGTTCCAGGCCTGGCTCTTATGGGTCATGCAAACTTGGACAAGTGACTTAACCTCCAAACTTCAGTTTCTTCACCTGGAAAATGAGAATGACAGCATCTATCTGAGAGAGTCCTCTCAAGGATTCATTCATGCAGCCAACAACTTGTTTTCAGGCTTTATTCAATGCTAACCATTACGCTACATCCAAGAGACAAAAAAGTATCACAGAGCTCAAATTCTTGAGTAAGAAGGGAAATCAAATAATCACATGAACTGAGGTATGATCACACAAGATGCTGAGATCTGACAGCCCACTTGTGCAGAAAGGCAGAGCAGTGAAGGGCTGCCCCAAGGAAGTGAGGTCAAAGTTCAGATGACTAAGAACCAAATAGGTAACAAGCAGAGGGGACACTGAACAGTAGCCTTGAAGGACAATATGAACTCTGGTCTTTCTCTTAGGAGCAACCAGAGGTCACTGGCAGATTCTGAGTAAGAATGACATAGATTAAATTAGATAATGACTGGGAGTGCCTAAGCACAATGTCCAGAGTGTAATAAGACCCCCATCCCTCCATTCCAAAAGTATCTCTCCTCTGACTCATTCCATTTTCATAACATGGCTGAATCAAGCATGTGAAACTCTTACAAGACTATTACAGCCTTAGAGATCAATCAACACTCGCTGTCCTACCCATTCCAGGACCAGGGCCAGACATTATAAAGAATCCAAAGATGATAGAAAGCTTCAAAGGTTCCCTTTCTTTTCAGGATCAAGTCCAAAATTCCTCAAGAGGTAGGTAGAGGCCCTTTGTGATAGGCTGACTTGTCTCCTCTCCTTCCCCTCCCCCTCCACCACTACCAGCAGCCACCTTTTAG